CTAGAAAACATGTAAAAGAGGCCACACATTCATCTATCCATCTCCTTCATCCATCCTCTTCTGGTTATTTGAAATATTGTCAGCATGTGGTATAACAGAGGCGTCGTTTTGAGGTGAATGAACAGCAAAGTAAAAACACAAAACCTCATGTCAGTATGGATGGATTTACAACAATATTATTTTAACTTTAAATCTAATGCTTTAAAAGCGCACAAAAAGCGTTCTCAGTAACAACTGAATGATTTTTCAGTTTACTACCAGCTGCAAAAAATACCAAGTAGCAAACCAACTGTTAATAAGTAAAAGAAATAAATGAGCAACAGCAGATAGTATCTCTTTAAAAACTGGGTTGACATATCTATAGCACAAGCAAAACTTAAGCTGAGAAACTATTCTGACCGCAGGATAATGATTAACGTTTTGTACCCAGTGTTATATTTCCTTAAAGTAGAAATATATCGGTGCAAGTCCCTGCACCAGTCATTTTCTGGTTTAAACTTCTTCCTTGGAGAACAAATGACATGATATAAAAGAATTATACTTATTTATCTTGCAGCTTTAACTGCTTTTTGGTAGTTTATTTTATAAATTCATATAAAGTAGAGAAGGCTGTCTCATTTTTAATTAGTGTTCATTTGCCTTTCAACTTTCTCCATTCCTGAACTAAATGAACTAATTAGCAGGAGTTGGTGTTATGCTTTCTCCATTTCAGTTTAGCGACACACAATGATTACTGAGGGAGGTTAAAAGGTGAGGGTGAAATTTTAAAAGTGTGAACAAAAGAGATCCATTAAAAACATTGAGCTTGTGGTTTGATATAAATTTGTCCTCTACATCTAGGGCCTCTGGGCTGAGATGAGGGCAAGAATGTAACCTTAGGGATGAGCAGGTACTACAACAGACTATAGTTGTGATTCAAGTTGTAGTTATGCATACAACACATATGAATGTTTTAAGAGCTAGAATAAGTACCCGGCCACACTGTGACAAAGCAACTCAGAGAAGTTCTGAAAATTATGTGTTGATTTTATTTTACCTGTGTTATCTGATTACTTATATTTGCAGCAATATCTTGGTATCATCTTCAGTTCCACACGGTAACATGTTGTGTTTCTTATTGGCTAACCAAGATAGAGGTGGTATGCCCCACAGGGTCACCTTGAACCCGTAAACCTTGTCAGTTGTAACTGAACAATGTGTATTGATAGGTGGCACCACCTCTATGGACAAACAAAGAACAAGATGAGTAATACAGTATCAGTAACAGTTAGCCACTGTGTCAGATCCAAATGTTTCAGAAAGACATAAAATGTTTCCACAACACTTGTCAGCATTACCAAAAATCTAGGCCTCTTATTTGAGTCAAATCAAATTTCTAGTATATTAGTTTTTCAGATCAATTTAAGCCAAAAGCAACAGAATGTTATGTAAGTAAGTCAAACTTGAAGTTAATCTAAACACTTGTAAAAAAAAAAAAAAAAGAAAGAAAAAGAAAAGAAGATGAAAAATAGCCAGCATGGATTTTACCATGTGAGAGGGCGGACCCAAATGCAGGACTCAGGAAACAGGAATGACTCAAACAAAAAAATCTGCTTTAATGTAAAAAGTAAAAGGTATAAAAATGTTGTTACTATAGACATTATCAGGCTGGTGAAGTAAACAAAACAGAAGACACAGAGAACAACAGAAAATAAAACAGAAAGACACAACTGAATGGAAGCAAAGGTTAACTTGGCATAAGGGTGGAGAGAAAGACAAGACAGAGGAACGCATAAAGATGCAGGGCAATGCAGATCAGTACACCAAGGAACACAACAGGGTACTAACCCAGTGTAAACAGTAACTACAACTAACAAGAACCAAAGACTCAGAGGAATACAATAAGTCTTAAGAAGATAATCGAAAAGAGCCACAGAAAATAGACAAAGCTTTTAAACTTGTAAACACAGGGAATTAAATGAAAGCAGCCATTCAACAAATAGTACACTATATATTAACTATAAAGGGACCAATACTTAGTTGAAAATGATGAACTAAATATATCTAAGGCCACAAGGGAAGCAATATTACAAAAGAAACAAAACTTTTCTTTTGAAATATTTTGTCCTTTTAAAAATACAAAGGAAACATTACCTCACAATGTCAAACGTGGGGCCCAAAATGCAGGGATCATGACAGTTCCCCCATTTTCTTAACAGTCCTACTCCCCATACTTTCCTAACAGAGGGCACATACAATATCAAAGTAAGTACTCATAATGCAGAGACGAGTAGGTCTCTGCGTTATGATAAACTCTAAAGTTCTTATCCTGCATTAAAAATTCAGAATGTTATTGCTATTATAAGTAATAGAAATTGACAAAGCAACATCAGAGATATTAAGTGAATTGAAATGACTTACTCCTGGAAAATTAGGGTGTGGGAATTGTGGTTTTTCAGTAGCAGCTGAATGATTTTATGTTCAAACAAGTTGGAAAAATATCAGAAGCAAGTCAACTGTTAATAAGTAAAAGAAGGAAATGGGCAGCACCTGGGCATCAGGTAGTAACTCCTTAAACTGGTTGTTTTGGTGGACAAAAAGAGGCTGGCAACATGCCAGGCTGGCTGGTAATAACTAATAATACTTCTACTCTTCCTCCTCTTTCCTGACGCAGGTAAAAAATACTAATGTTTTTAGGTCAGGTCAGGAATAGTTCATGCTGTTTTTGCACAAAATTAAAAGGAAATAAAAAGAAGGCTGTATTTATTGACATCTCTGGAATCACTTTTATGACTGGTGGAGGTCAATAAAAAGCTACAGAACTCTGAAAGTGATACTGTTTCAGTGTAAAGCGTGACTTATTTCATTGTGATTGGCTAGTCAACTTATAGTTGCAGAGTTTTTGTTGCCAAAGATGAAAAAAAACCCAGAAAAGCACGACTGCACTTTTGACCTAATAAGCAAAAATGTAACTTTATATTTCAAAGTACTATATTTGTGTATACTTGTGATATATATTGATTTTTATATATAAACCTGGCCAAGAGCGCAGCAGAGACTGTGACAAATATAAATATATGCCAAGAAAGAAATACACTTGACACAATGTAAAGTGAGTGATCTCACCACCCAGATCATATGCAGTAACATATCGAGAACTTCAAGAGCATATGTTTAACTGTTAGGTTATGTTACATTGACCAAAAGATCTCTTTCATCAACATTTTACAATGGACTTAATTCCACTCATAGCAGATTATTACTCTGTAGATTACTCCAGGAAAAAGTGGAACTCTAAAATATTCAGAGTTAAAGCATAAAAAGTATTCTGGTTATTACGAAGAATGAAAAGTTACAGGTTTCATAAATCCCTACCCACTCAATACAAACCTTCTACCTGGAATCTTATTCTTAGCATTCCTATTTCAGCAACAAATCAATTCCAAAAGCAGGAACACACAATGTCTGAGTGTGTTACTCATAACTGTGATGGGTATAAATAGAAGCCACAAATCAGGTAGAGACACAGTAATGAGGAAATATGAATAAGCCCTTCATGGTACGGAAGCCTCCATAATCTCAGTGATCCTGGAAAGCTTACACACACACACATACAAACGCACAGACACACATACTTATTTAAGTGTGTAGGGGTTGCAGATAGACTAACACAGTCAGCAACTTCACCACTAGTGACCCACATTCAGGGGTGCTAAAGTTAGACTGACTCGAGCTGGTCTGAGCTGCAATGGTCTAGATCTGAAAGGTCAGATTACTCTTTCTTTAAATGCCTTTATAACATGAACTCTTGTCGATTATATGTTACTGTATAATGAGCCTCTCTATTTTTCTCAAGAATATAAGCATAAATACAAAAAACTCATTGTGGTAATAGCAAAACAATAGATATTCCACTTTATTTGAGTTTTGTTTTGTTTTTTGCAGAAAAAAGAATAAAACTTGACAAGTCAGTATCCAATTAGGAGACAAGTATTTAACTCTTAACACCTTCATACTAACCAAAGCAGGATCTGAATCAGTTTGAAGATGTGTTATGTTTCCATTATTGCACTGTACTTACTGCACAACACCTTTACTTTACTCCTACTTATGGTTTGCAGTCAGATGTTAGTGGCCACTTTCTGCTTTCACTCTAATTTAGATTGCCGAAACTCCACCAAGGCCACACGACACATTTGGGTTCAAGACCTTCTCAATCCTGGGTTTAGGCTACTTTTAAATAGCAAAATGACCCTGGCTCAGATCCAACCTAGAGATATCATAGGCTCTGTAGTGGATCTGCAAACCAGGTCCAGATCGCAGTCCACCTGCACAGCAGGATGGACGCAGAACAGATAAGGATCAAATAATCAGCCCCATCTGGACCGGATCTATTTTGGATTCGTTAGTAGTGACTCATCTTATCAATATTAAAATCTGTCATCCTTCCAGAATTAAACAGAAATTTCTAAAAATGTATCTGACCAAAGTGTAGATAGCTCTATAAATGGTAAATGGACTGTTTCTTATATAAGCTTAACTGCGTTCTACCTAAAACGCTTTGGCGTGCAGACTGGAGCAGCCAAGAATCGGACCACCAATATTCCCATTAGAGGATGAACTGCTTCTCCTGAGTGGCAGCCACCCCAATAAAAGTTAGATATTCCTTATTCCTTATAGCATGTTTGCTTTTACTGATGAAACTTTGCATTCATTAAATACCTAGGTTCAGTGTGGTCACTGTTCCCCAGCTACTTCAGGCCCTCCCAGCTAATGTTTGACTTACAAGTTGGTTTGCTAGCTTGGTCACTGAAAAAAGAGAGTATCTCATCCTGCAGTTGAGCAGCGTCTAACGCCACCGTTTTGGACTGTTGCTAGATGTACTTTATTGATTAATCTAGTTTGGCTTCCCGTGTCTAACAAAGACAAGGTCTGACCATAAAGTATCATTGAGTCCACTAATAAAATGTATTTTCTTTATGTGAAGCAGCAGTAGAATAACAACAAGAACAGCAGCTCACCTTCTTGAACGTCCTCTGTCTACTTTCAGGTTGAAGGTTTTAAGATGTCATGACATATGGCGGCAAGGGAAACATGACTCTCACTGCATCTATAATCACACAAGCAGCAACTTTAACAAACCTCCATTTAAAACATCATAGTGTTAGTTACAGTGTAACCAGTAGGCTTTAATCTTAAAGTCTGCCTTAATGATATACTAAGTACACTTTAGCATACTTGAATGTTCCAGATTTTAAAAACAAAATCAACCTGTTTAATTGTTTTCAACATTTTATGATATAAGAAGAAACTTCTCTCCCTCCCATTTTCTGTCTGGCTTCTTAGCACTAAGCCACAGACCAACTCTGGAAGTAGCAACATCCCATTGCAATTTCTCCAAAAGATGCATTGTCTACTGCTCCTATGGGCTTGTGTTTTAAGTGTTAGCAAGATTCTTGGTTGTTCTTGTGAATCTAATAAGGTAATAAATCTAATAGGGCAATCAAGGAAATGTTGGTCAGCTAAAGTTGCTAAGGCCTTTACAACTTTGGATTATGGCTTGTGCAAAACATTCAATCAATGGAAAAAAAATAAGTGGATTAATCTATAATAAAAAATAATCATTAGTGGCAGTCCTAATACATATTCAAATAAGTTTATTGTCAACAAAGAATGACTTGAGGACTGCAGTTCGACACCCCTGACCTAGTGCATGTAGGCCACATGCAGGCTTATAATGCGTCTGCACCCTTAATGTAACTTTACATGTGCAAATCAGCTCTTAAAATTATTTGGCTGTCAGTACTTAATGCACCTGTTATAATATTAATAAGAACATAAAATGAAACATAATGCTGGATTGAAATGTATCTTGTATGAGACTCGCTTTCAGAGCCCCTACACTTTGAAGGTGTGGTTTGTGATGTTGCATGGATACTAGATCTCTATTTTTTGGATTTTGTGCCATGCTTTATTCTGCAGGAGATAACTGGAGGGTAATTAGGTGCATGAGTTTCACCTGGGCCAAATGAGCTCGGCTCTGTGGCTCTAATTTGTTTTATAGGTAAAAACTGTCTTCTCTCATTTGAAATGGCCAATGTTTGAAGTTTTGTACTCTCCAAGAATGAACCTTTAGACATCACCAAATCAATGTTTGTGACAGGTTAAAATAACGTTAACTGTAAGACTTATTTATTAAAGTCCAGTCAGACCCCTGACTTGTGACCTAAAAAAAACCAGCTTCACCAAACCTTTCCATTTCAGCACTAAAAAACTCCAAGCACTGTAGTATGCAGAACTTGTTCACTCGATATTCATCAAAGTAATTTTTAAGGTGAAACTACTGAGATAAATCAAGGACATTAACTTGCCAAGTATTTAGTTTGCTTTTTGGTTAACTAGCTCATGACAGCAGATGATCGGTTTACAATCACAATGCTTTGTTTCACTTTTTCCTCTAATATCACCTGCTGTTATTATGAAAATTTGTCTACATTGTAAGAAATGAAGTTTTAAATTACTTTTTAAATTTTTGTTTGTTCGTTTTTAGGATTTTTTTTTCTTTATAACGTTTTTTTCTTTTTAGGTGTTATGATGCCAGAGATGCCCATAAAATTGCCCAGATCAACCGATTACTTCCCATAGGCTGGCACTTAACTGGAGCTTCACGGTACCAGATGATAACTACCCTGGGAGAAGGAGCCTATGGCACGGTTGGAAAATTCATTAGGCTCAATGACATGAAGAGCGTAGCCATCAAAATAGTTAAGACTGATTGCTTCAGAAATGGACTGGCAAACTTGGAGGTAGGAAAGACTTGGCTTGATGCAGTTAATCCAACAATTGTATTTGAAGAAATTCCTCTAAAATATTTACTTGAAGCTAAAACTCATATGTTGCCAGGTGGCTGCCCTGCAGAAGTTAAAGTTGTACAAATCTGAAAGGTATAACTTGGTTCAGTTTTACAACGTTCTTACCGATGGGCAAAAATTATGTCTCGAATTCGAGCTTTTGGACAAGAACCTTTATGAATTCATGAAGGAAAGACAATTCCGACCACTCGCTCTAAACTCAGTTAGAGCCATCACCCAGCAGGTGTGTTTAACTGTATTCTCTACATAAATAAAGTTTTTCAGATGGATGCTGATTACATTAATACAAAGGTGTGTGGGGTTTTTTTTTTGTTTGGGTTTTTTTTAGATTGCGAAAGCGCTGGATCATTTGAAGTCTGTATGTTTGATACATGCAGACCTCAAGCTGGAAAATGTGATGCTTGTCAACCATCAGAAACAACCATATAGGGTCAAAGTGATTGACTTTAGCTTGGCATGTGAAACCTCCGCTGCCTCGATGGGCTCTTGCATTCAGTCCCGTTCATACCGGTTAGTAGCTGTAACCAAAGTGGCTTTTTCTCTTAAAGGTCAATACTGGATACTCCCCTGCTGTTTCTGTGATGGGCTTCTTGGCTGCATAACTAATCCAGTTGTCACTTTTGTTGTTAATAATTGACAGTTGCTGTTTTTCCTGTTTGTCCTAAATCAGGTCCCCAGAGATTATTCTCGGGGCTCCATTTACAGAGGCCATAGATGTATGGTCTCTGGGCTGCATTGCTGCTAATCTGTACCTTGGCTCCATTCTCTACCCTGGTGAGAATGAATATGAGGTGGTAAGTATAACTAGCGCTTCTCCTTTGAAGAACTTAAAGCTTTATTTAAAGGATTACAACACATTATGTTAAAGTTGTTGGACTCTGAATTTGACCAATTGGTCTGTATTTCCAGATGAGGTACATAGTGGAGACTCAGGGCCAGCCTCCAGGCAAGATCCTCGACAGTGGGCTCAAGACTGCCTTTTATTTCGACACGCAGTTGTATTTCACCACCAGCACGTGGAAACTCAAGGTTCTTAGTACTTTACAATTTTTTACTTTACAAATTTACAATTTATCAGTGTTGATGAGTTTCCTGTCTTTTCAGACACCTGAGCAGTTTGTCAGTGAGACAGGGATTAAGTTCACTGAGAAAAGGATGATGAAGTTGACCTCTCTTGATGACCTTAAAAACGTAGGTGTACTTCTTGACTGTTCTATTTTGTATGTTTAAAACTAAATATAGATTTTATTTATAGAATAAATATTTAAACAAAACTCCCAAAAAGAAACAACTTAAAATTCAGAGTTTTTAGGGGCCTTTTCTTTCTTTGATGTTTCAGCTCTGGTTCACACGTCATCAAAATTATACCAGTAAATCCGCAGAAATCTGTGATCTGCTGGTGTTTATCGAGCTGCTTAAAGGAATGCTTCAGCTTGATCCTGAAAAACGGATGACGCCCAGTCAGGTGCTGCAGCACGACTTCACAACACTGCGCCACATATCGCGCTGTACCCCTACAGCTTCGAGTAAGATATTACTTCTCTTTTGAAACACTGGTTTTCCACATGCAACAAACACATTTCCACTGTGAGCATATGTTCTGTATCTCGCTTTATGTGGAAAATGTTGTATTCAGATGAGTGAGTCAATAATTTGGTACATGGCTTGATTGTTTTGCAGTGCTAACTCTTGCTTTCAGAAGATGAGCATCTGTCAGTAACGGCTGGTGGTACCTGTGTGCAGGTCTCCGCAGCAACCATCCTCCAGGACCAGCCACGCTACCCAGCAAAACCAACCTTGCCCTCGATCTGAGCACAGCATCCAAGTGAGGCGCCATTCTCACTCTAGGACCACCTGTCCTCCTCTGCAAAATCATCCTCGCCCTCCATCTATGCGCTACAGCCCTTATTCCAGAACAACCCACCTTGCTCAGCAAAATCATCCTTGCCTTCCCGTGTTACACCACTGCTGTTGCTTCAGGACCATCTGTCCTCACCAGCACGATCATCCTCGCTCTCCAGCTGTGCGCCACTGGCTCTACTTTACGACCACACACTTTTTCAATTCAATTTATTCAATAAACACTTTGCTCCCTAGCTCAGCATGGCACCCAGGTGCGGTATCACTGCCTTTACTGCAGGACTACCCATCCTTGCAGCAATATCCTTCTGGCCTTGCAGCTAAACTCCACTGTCTTTACTCTAGGACCACCCATTCTGCTTAGCAATGCCGTCCTCACCCTCCAGCCAAACACTGCACCCCTGCACAAAGTCTAGGACCACAGTGAAGTCCTTAGCAAGACTCACCAAATCAAACCAGAGTCTTAAAAAAAATTTAATGACTGATTAGACAATGTGAGTAAGAGTCTCTGACCAATCTGAAAGATCATTGTGATTTAAAAAGGGTTCCATTGTTGGATGTAGGACAATTATAGCTCACCACAAAGAAAGAATCAGAATACTGTATTAATCCCTAAGCAAATTATGTAGAGAAAGATGAACAATGGGGAAGACTATGTTGAGAGGTTGCGTAGGAGTGCCAGATGGAACTCTTGAGATTGCAGCATCCACACTTTTAATCACATCTTCCTTATTGAGACTGATCAACGGGACACTGGCTGAGCACAAATGCTGGAGACAGACATTTCTGCTCAGGAGTAAACCAAAAAAAAAGAAATAAAAAAAAAAACATGAAAAATAGACCTGATAGGTTATATGTACCAATCTCTTATAAGAAGAAGTCATAATTAAAAGCAATCTGTTGCCATCATTGCAATAGTCAGGGGGCTTAGGCCATTTAAAATTTGTTTTTCCAATGAATTACTTTATTTTCACTCACATGTTGTTGTATGAAGTACTTATTCTTTATTGTATTTTCTAATAAGTGGAACAATATTAAAACAATAAACTTGTGATTTCTCTAATTTAAGAACCAGCTTCATTTTTTTTAATTATTCTAATGCATCATGATGACAGGGTTAGTAATGTTTTTCACAGGTCAGTTTGAGGTTCTTTCATAAAATGCATACCCTTGAGACAGTGGGTGCCATTTTGCTGAAAATAGTGAGGGGAGGGAAAGGGGGTGGGGTGTAGATTTCAAGATAAAAGTGTGTGTGTGTGTGTGTGTGTGTGTGTGTGTGTGTGTGTGTGTGTGTGTGTGTGTGTGTGTGTGT